GGAAGAGAGAAGGAAAGGGGAGGGGAGGGGAGGGAAGCGGGAGGGAAGAAGGAAAGGGATGGAGGGGAAGAGAGAAGGAAAGGGGAGGGGAGGGGAGGGAAGCGGGAGGGAAGAAGGAAAGGGATGGAGGGGAAGAGGGAAGGGGAGGGGAGGGAGGGGAAGGGAAGGGAATAGTTTTTTAACACTGTCTGATGCCTTTTCCCCAGTGAATTTACTGTGGTGTTGGGGGCACATGACCTCTATGCTTTTGAGGAAAGTCAGCAAGTGCTGGGCGTCGAATCATACCATATTCATCCTGAGTATAATGACATGACAGCCACACACGATATCCTTTTGCTAAAGGTAATTTACGCCAGCCACTGTCCGCTCTCACAATTGCCCCAACGGATAAAGCTTAAATGGCTCCCTCTTCTCCCTGGGACAAAAAAGCACCATGGGCTAAGCCTGCCATTTGATTAACAAGTGGCCTCTTGAAGGCAACATTTGTACCATGTGGGATGTTTGACCCTCCACAGGGACTAGCGGCATGAACTTTGGAGGGAGGCTGAAAGTTCCCAGGGAGAAATGTTGATTTCAAAATGCGGAAGTGATTTTGGATGGGAGTTTCAAGGAGAGGGAAGTGAAATTCTCCAAAGGTTTGGTGTCCTTTACTGTTAGCGATGCAGCTGCAATGGCTATTTCTTGATTTTTGTTTTTTGTTTTTTTTACATTTTAATTAAAAACAATGAAATTGAGAGCAGGAATAGCAGCTGAACCAGGAGAGAAAACTTTAGCTGGCGCGAAAGGAGAAGCGAAAAGGGATGAGACTTTGATCAATGCCCACGGCTGCCATCTTGACTTTTTTGATGCCCCCTCTCCCCCAGATGCTCCTGACCCACTTTTGGGAGCCAGTGAAAAGAGCCCCCTTCTGCACCCCCATGAAAAAACCTTCAGATAGCCCAAGCTGTACCTTTCCAGTCTCATGAACAGCAGCTACGAGCTTTGGTTTTTCTTAACTTAAAGCTAACCCTCCAATCTCAGCTGCCCTGTTCTCCCCACAAAAGCCACTTTTTTAGGCAAACTTCCCACCACCGTCTTCTCCCAACAGCCACTGGGTGCAGCAGATGCTCATTCAACGGTCTTTTGTTTCCTCTTCTTCCTTTTTCCCCCTTCTCTTTCTTGCATCAGCTGAATCACCCAGCGAAGCTCAACAAATACGTCCAAGTCATCCCATTGCCTCGGTCAACGAGTGACCTCTCGGATGGGACCCTGTGCACTACTTCAGGCTGGGGAATGATTGACAGATTAGTCAGGTCATATAAACTCTACGAAACCAACATCACCATCTACAACCGCCGGAAATGCATGAAATTCTACCCAGAACTTGACAACGCCATGATCTGTGCTGGGAGCTTCAATCAGCTCCGAGATACGAGCCAGGTGGGGGAAGGAAGCAAAGTACGGTTGGGAGGTTCAGTTGTAGGGGGTGGGGGGAGTTTTCTTCCAGTCTGGGAAAATGCAACTGATTCATTTATTTGGGGGGGGGGTCTCTGAGGGCCACTGAAGGGGCCACACCATGGGACATCAATATTTTTAGCCTGTTTGGGGTGGGTTCTACAAAATTGTCCCAGAGGCAGCATGTCAACCACTTTCTCTGGCCCCCCAAGCTAATCAGGGTTTGTTGGGGAAAATGCAAGGTTGCAAAAATACCCCGGGAGAAGGTGGTACGAGAGATATCTGTGGGCAGGAAGCAAGGGACAGGGGAGTGCCATGCGGTGACAAAGCAAGCCAGGCCCCCTTTGAAGGTGACCCAGGATGTTGTAGGCACCTACAGAAGGCCCAGCACTCATCTCTGAATGGCAGACCATGAGACTTCATAGACATGACTGTCCCCACAGTCATCGGGGTCGACCATCGCCCTTCCTGGCTATTTGAAGGCCCAGTTTAGCCTCAGCTGGTAGCTCTGTAAACCAGGTTCCCTTTTGTGTTATGCAGCTTCCCACCTCACCAGTGCATCACCCAATTAAAATAGCAAAAGGAAAAAAACCTGTCAAGTCATTACAACAAAACTGTTCAATTCGGACAGTTAAAAACGATAAGCAAAAAACACATCCAGAGTCTTTCCCACCATACAGCCGTTTCACAGGCTCTCTATTTCTGGGGGATCCCCAGGCCCCATGGCGCAACCAAGCTATGCCCACAGGCGCACACATGTTGTGTATCCTCCTGTGGCCCAAGAGAGAGAAGAGAGCCGAGAGCGAAGTGTGGCACTCAGACATCGCTAGCCATTCTGCAGTGCAGCAAACTCTGCGCGTGCTCTGGTTCTCTTTCCCCGGCAGGAATTTTCCTGGGTCAATGATCTTTTCTAGCAAAATATCTCCTCCCCAACCCACCTTAAAGTGAGACTGACTGAGGAATATGGCTGAAGCTCTTTGCACGCAGAGCAAACATTCCACCACTCGGCTGGCCCCTGATCCCTTAAAACTTCAGAAAGATGCTAGTCCTCATGGGGGTTAATAAAGTATGAATTTAGATATCAGACCCTATCAGATTCCATGGCTGATCTTGCTTAGCGCTGCCAGCCTCCTTTGTCCTTAACCTGTTGCCTTCCACAGGGAATGGACTACCCCTCCCATCACACGTCCTAAAGAACTGGCAGGAGATGATGGGAGTCCTGGTCCCTGATACCTGGGGAGGACCAGTTTTGTAGAGATCCATTCTACAGCTTCTCTTTCAGCTGTTTTTTTCCCTTTCCCCTTCCCCAGGGGGACTCCGGAGGCCCTATGGTGTGCAACGGCATCGTGCACGGCATCGTTTCCTTTGGCAATCGCTTCCCACCGGGTGTTTACTCCCGCATAGCCGACTTTCTTCCTTGGATCAGGCACGTTATGGGATCGGAGGCTTGAGACCAAGACGCCAGAGCTCTTCTTTCTCAAAAGCTTTCGCTTGCTGAGCGGCAGGCCTCGCGTTTTCTAGCCCTGCCCTTTTCCGCTTGCGCAAAAAATAAAGAAATGCAGCAACACATGTGACTGAATGGAATGGCTGGTGACCAGATGCCTTTTTCAAGTATAGATTCTGGAAGATTTTTCTCCACCTCCCATCATCCGTCTTCCTGTCTCCCCTTTGCATCCCCTCTCCGGCTTTGTCCTCTCATACCCGAAAGTCTCTTTCCAGAGCCCACAGCTGCCCCACCTATTTAAATTCCCTTTTAGGTCAAGACCTCTCTCCCAGTGTCCTTTCTTGGAGGGTCCCCTTCAGTGTCCCCTTGGAGGTCCTCCACAAGATGCTTCTCTGTATCTCCATTTTCGCCAACAAGATGCTCTGCAGATGTATGGGGGACTAGAATTCCCCAGCCACTGTACCTAGGCATTCTGGGAATCGTAGTTCTAAAATCTAGAGGGCATCAAGTTGCAGGAAGTTTGCTTCAGATGGTTCCTCCACACCCCAAACTGAAATGCATCTTAGCCCGTCAGGTAAAAACCTAGCAAAGATGTTCACACAACGTGCAAAACTCAGTCAAGGAGAACCATGGGGTGGTTTTGAGGCTTTGAGGCTGTTGGGTGGGCTACAGACAGCGCTTGAGAGGTACATACTGAAGGAGGCAACAGTTGGGAACACGCAATGGGGAAATTATTAAGTCTCTAGGGAGTGACCGTATTTGCAAAATTAAACCGAATGTTAGTTTTTTTCTTGGATGCTCCCCTTCCTGGATCATGATCACAATCTGATGACGTGTTCCCACAGATTTGGTACCCTGACATTAGAAAAATATCTAGGGCAGTGTTTGGCAACTTTTAAGATGTCTGGACTTCAACTCCCAGAATGCCCCAGCCAGCCTTAAAGTTGCCAAGGGTGAGAAACACTGATTTAGGGCTACCAGTGTTACACACGCTGCTCCCAGGTTCGGCATATGGCCACTCACTCACACGCTCACAGCCTGTTGAGGCACGCGGATCTTGTCAGCCCCCCTTGCTTT